AATTTTCATAAAACAACAAGGAATTTATTGCATTTCTTCATGGAGAGCTGTTAGTGGGGAGCTGCTCCTTCTCTTTCTCTCACTCTCTGCGCCGCCATTTTCTTCTTCTGCCCTTCTTAAAAAACAAGAAGCTAGCAGCTCACAAAACACAGAAAAGAAAGAAATGGAGCATTCTGCGTTTGGATTTCCCTTTTAACCGTGTCTGTGCTGTGTTTCTTAAGCTGTGCTAACAATAGGCTGCTTTATTCACTTGCTGATGTGGCACTTACACCTCGGCAGAGATTTGTTCCAGCTTGGAAATCTGCTATTAAATGTATTTTTATTAACATTTAAACACAAAATGATAAAAAAATATATAATAAAAAAACTACTCATACACGATTAAAAAGACAGCACTGTATTATACATGGTGTCACAATTTGGCAGGGCTAACGCAGAATAAAGAATATTCATTATACTATACTATACACTATATTCATTATATGTGAATCATATTTATATGTATGTATTTACAGTCCATTGTTGGAATGTAAAAATGTTTCCATGTAAAGTGTCCAGAAGAGTGCATTTTCTGAAAGATTTACACCACCAATATTCAGTGTTTTTGTCAGAGGGACAGTGTCTGGAGTGAGTAAACCTCCGCAGTGTCTCATAGAATGGCCAGGCCAACAGATGCAGATCCGGGATAAAGGTGTCTCTGAACGGAACCAGCTCTGGTTCTCTGGGTGGCTGCACTAACGGTGGCCTGAAAATCTCAGTTACATGGATGGAAACTGTAAATTCTCACTATCACCAACCACCTAGATGGTAAGACGCGCTATTTTAATAAATGAATTTCAGGCTCCAGGGTGAACACAGAGGCGTCTTGTTTGTGTCTAATAAGCTATAGGTGGGGGACACTGTTTTAAGGTGAAATTTGTCTCGATGGCGATCTGCAGGCACAACAACAACATCACCTGAGTGGTGCTGCGGGGCCTGAAAAAGCCGTGCGTAAAAGCGGTTTCGCAATGCGGCAACGCGTCACCATTTTAACGGCCTGCAGGCCCGGAGCCGCAGGATGCTCAGAGAAGCTGCTCACACACCGCAGGGATTTTTTTTTTCTTTTACACAAAATGTTGCTTTACAACAGTTCATAGCGGTTAGATGAGGACTTCCCATCAAAGGAGAGATGTGAAAACACACCTGAAAGACCGGAAGCTGACTTTTAACTGCAATGTTTGGATAGGGAATTGGGTTCCTCTGCTTGATGCAAATGTTTAAATGCATCTACTTGATTTTAAGTTCCTGTCCTCCCACGCAGGGACCTGAGCTCAAATCCAACGCATCCTGAATCTTAAATAAGCTAGAGCCGCCTCCTTTGCAGCAGTATGACACAGACAGTTCGAGTTTCTGCTCCAGTAAGACAGCACACAGAATTTGTCCCATGTGATATTTTCAGAACTCCATTTTCCGAAACTCATGCATACCAAAACGAATCCAATAGGCCTCAGTAAAATGATAGTGTGGCCACATTTAAACAACCACAACATCCGAGTTCATCCCCGCAGCTCAATATACCTGGTCAGCTGTTTCATGTTTTATCTGCTTTGCTCAGACTTTGTTCATTACCGACTTCTTCTATCTGTATGATAAAGCCTCCAGTCTACAGTGGGACATTTATGAATAAAGCCAGGATTAGTGTCTGCGTAAATAGTCGATCCAAACTGCTATCAACAAGACTTAATAAAGGACACTCCATTGATAAGCTAACGCCTGGATGGTCCTAGAAAAATCAGTTTCCAGCACAGATTTACTTCGTATCCTTTCGAAATCCTAAAAACTTGATTTTAAACCTCCAGTGACCCACGTGTGACCTTTCCAAACTGCACGGTGTCTGGCTGGCAGGAGACGCAGGATCCACCGCTTCCTCTATGCAAATATCCCGGGTTAAAGATTAACAGAAAATAAAGCAGCACGGAGCAGGAGGCACAAACAGGCCGCTCGATCTACGTTCTGTTGCTTTCTTTGTGTGTTTGTTGCTTTTATTGGGGTTTCCGGCCTTTTCATGGACGCAATAAAGACATTAGGACCTGTTATAACATCCCCCAACACACACCATCGCCCTCCACCAGTTCATCTGCTCTTTTAGGTCTCTGCAGACAGCCGAAGACTTCGAGAAGCTGCTAGATTTAATAGAAATTTCGTTCGGATTTGGTGAAACTTGTACAGCTTGAATGGAGCCAACCTGGATGTTTTTGACACAATAGCTGCAGAGTGAACAGGTAAAAGGTGGGGGGAGTGCTAGCTGCTCGGCAGCGTTTGCAGGGAGCTGTCTGGAGGGAGTACAGTTTAAAAATCAATCTCTTGATCTTGTCTTAAACAACACAGACATTAAGAAATCTTCAAAGATAATGAATGTAAAGAACGAAAATTCCCTTCAAAATAAGACAGATGAAACATCATGGTCACCTTTATTTAAAAAAAACAAAGGAAAATTCCATATTAACATGTATAGTATATTATTCTATCTTTTCCTTTTAAATTTGACTCAGTTCTATAACATATATGCATCAAATATTTGCGCATGGTTATGACATCACGTATTTTATATATAGAGAGAATATGTTTTGTCTCCAATATGGAACTACAGAACAAAATTCCTACGAGCTTTTCGGTACCATTTGTTTTTACAAGAATGTAGTGATGTGTCGTGCTGTCAAATTCAATTTGTGGAACATGTGCAGACACTACAGCCAAAACACAGCATTTTTATGTTTATTCACTGTATAAGACCATTTCACAGCGAGACCGATGTGCAGAAGGGCTTCAGTCACTTTCAGAAAAAAACACAAAAAACTCACAATTCCAACAAAGAAATCTCTGATTAACTTAGGCTCCACTTACAGTATTTTTGTGTGTGCTTTCAACCGCATCGCATGCTCTTCATCAGCGGATGGCGCTGCCTTTTATAAAAAAAGAATTGGTTATAAGTATCAATATTGCCAGGAATGGTACATTCATGTTCATCTGTCAGTGTTAAAGATGTAGCCACCGTGCGACGCACATTTTGAACAAGCTGTCGGACGCTTTAAAGCAAAACTCACAGACGTCATCTTGTTCATAAATACCTCCGTATTATAATATTTTATATTTATTGTGTGGGGTTTTTTTAGGGGGATGATGGGAGCTCAAGCGCTGGTTGCATTACTGCTAAATAAAGAGGCAAAGTGTAAATGCTGAAACGCTGAACGCTATTGAGCTAATAGCTGTAACAGTGGGGAGTGAAAGCCCATTAATACATTTAAACCTGTAAACAAGGTGAGGGTATTTTAAGAGAGCATTGGCACTCATTACTGTGCTTTATAATGTGTGCAAGTCATGATTACGCTCTCAAGTCAAAGTGAAAAACCTATAAAGGACGGTTGGAACTTAATAACTAGTGTGTGTGTGTGCGTGTGGTATAATGGATTTTTTGCTGCAATACTCTCTCTTATGGGAGAGTATTTCAACTGATGAACAAATGTAAACGTTTTTCATTTGTGAACGTAAATAGCTGAAGTTAAAGCTGCACTGCCAATGTCCACATGTGGAAATGTACACACACACACACACACAAAGAAGCTTCAACACAAAGACAGTTTTCATGTAAAACTCAATATGCTCAAATGTGGTCTGAATGTCTTTGTACATCAGGTATTTTCACATGTGAAAATCCAACATTGTTCCCAAATTGAACTTACATTTGGATTTTCACATCTGATATATCTTCTGTTAAATGACTTCGGGAGAGCTAAAAGTAATATGAAAACTGAAGACATCCTCCATCTGCTGGGCCTGTCCTGGATGGACTCTGTACCTCATCTTGGGGAACTACTTGATAATGATCCCAGACTTGTTCCTGCTCATTCCTACAAAGGCAGAATAATGGCAACTAAATCCAAACTGGAGTATGACTGCATGATAGGAGTGCTGCTGAAGCACACATTTCTGCAGACACATTCTCTAGTGCTGACGTTATCATCTTAAAGCTTTAATGATTACTTGTTATTGTCCTAAACTGTCTTTATTATTATATATTTATATATTATTACTGACAGAACAATAGTGGCTGTAGTCTTATTATTTTCATTTTATCTTCCAGCAGAACCACAAATATGTGAAACTCTTAAACAGTTGCTAGCCAATATTTACTAATGAAACAGGAGACATGGCAACAAGCTTATTGCGGTTAACTTTTTTATTATTTACATACAAGAAAAAAAAGTGCATTTTATATAGCTCATACAACATGAAAACACTGGTGCATTTACGACACAATAACACATAATCAAGCCTATAATTAGTTTTAAAGCATATAATCCAGGAGATAACTGAACTCCAGAAGATAGCTCACACTCATACAGACAGGGTCTCATTGGCCGGCTTTCAAATATCCCTTTTAATTTCATGTGAACAGCAAAAATGTTTTTTAAAGTCAGCAATAGAATGAAAAATCACCTTACTGTTGTTTAATAGAGCAGCTTTTATCTGGTTGCACCATCAAATACTTCTGTAAGTTTGAAATGAATTATAAGTATCTCAGCATTTAACTATGTGTACTTTATGTACCATGTGTGTCTTTGTGTCAGCAGCTTTATAATTGAAATATAATTAAACCCATATTCCTTTTCAAAACACAATTGCAAACTGGTGCTAGTCTGGGCTGTGTAGATAGCATTGATGGCACCAAGGTCATACAGTAATATTAAACATTTTGGCTCTTTTAAAGCAACTTGACCAAATAAACTACATGTTCTTAGGCAAAAAAAGAAGCATTTTTCACAAGAAATACATGGCTGTAGAGAAGAAGAATAAAACATTTAGACCATAAGGGAGATTAAAGTAACAGATATTCTAACTATAATGTATAAAATGTTGCGATTTTTTTCCTAAATTGTGCACAGTTTGGTTGGTGGCCAGAGGAAAAGAAAATTGTTAAGTGGGTGGGGTTCTGAGGAGGGGGGATTTGGACTCNNAGCCTAATAACCTCATAGCGTCTAATATTCTAATAGCATAACACAAAGCTAACAATCTATTTCACCCCTGTGTGGCTTACCTTGCACAGTAGGTATAATGAACACTACCAATAACCTTTTTGTATTCACAGAAATCACTGGTGCTGCTGTTTCAGTGAGTGCATCTCCCTTTCTGCTGCAGATATAACATCAATGAGTCTATATAAATGTCCAGCCCTCAATAGAACACAAGGTTTTCTTGTCCCTGCGGTCATTTCTGCACTTTTAGGACAGGACTAAGAGACAGGAGGAGCAAAAAAACATCCTGGTTATGTTCTAAATGTGGATGTTGTTTTACCACCTTGTATTATCTAGAGATGATGCTTATATAATATAATATAATATAATATAATATAATATAACTGACTGCAGAGCAAAGGTCACTTTACTTAAGAGCTCAAAAATCACCTGTTTGTGTCCGTTAGAGTCATTATTATTACTCCTCCTCATCATCATCATCATCCTCCTCTTCTCCTTCAGCGGTCGGTAAAGCTGCAGTTGGGGAGCCGCTCCCGGCAACCCTGTTCTCCTTCTTCCATTTCATCC